AGGAAGAAAGTCATAAGCATCCAGTTGTACCTCAGAGACCATCAATGGAAGACCAAGAGGGACCCCAAACAGGTCTGCAAAAACTTCCAGCACTCATGGGCTGCTCTGAGGACTGATAAGTCTTGTCTGCTGATATGAGAGAGAGAGAGAGAGAGAGAGAGAGAGAGAGAGAGAGAGAGAGAGAGAGAGAGAGAGAGAAAGATTATATATTCTAGAAAAAAAACAGGATCTAAGTTTTGCTCACATCCATCTCCTGTTGGGATTCAACTCCTGACATAGACAATGACTTAAGGAAGATAGCTGTTAGAGAAAGCTATGCAGGTACTATTCCAAAAGAAAAGAGACAAATAGGAATTAAATTGTTGTGTAGCAACAGTGTTCTGCATATTAATACTAGAAGAATCTACTTTCAAAATGTATAACAATGAAATTCTTTTGGCTTTGGCATAGTGTACCACAGGGAAGAATAGTGAGATATATGGAAAGAGTCAAGATTTTTTCTCTCCTTTTTTTATTTATATTAGAAACAAGCTTGTTTCAAATATCAATCCCAGCTCCCTCTCCCCTCCCTCCTCCCCTACACCCATCCAGCCCCTTCAATCCCCCACCCAATCCCCACTTCGCTCCCCAGGGAGGGTGAGGCCCTCCATGGGGCATCTCCAGAGTCTGTCATTTCATCCTGGGCAGGGCCTATGCCCTCCCCCATGTGTTCAGGATAAGAGAACATCCCTCCATGTGGAATGGGCTTCCAAAGTTCATTCGTATGCCAGGGATAAATACTGATCCAATACCCCATAGATTGCCAAGGCCTCCACACTGACACCCAAATTTAAGGGGTCTGAATCGGTTCCATGCTGGCCTCTCAGTCATCAATCTGGGGTCATGAGCTCCCCCTTCATTTCAGCTGTTTCTGTGGGTTTCACCTTCCCGGTCTTGACCCTTTTGCTCATCACTCCTCCCTCTCTGCAACTGGGTTCGAGGAGTTCAGTTCACTGTTTAGCTGTGGGTGTCTGCCTCTGCTTCCATCAGCCACTAGATGAAGGCTCTAGGATGGCATATAAGGTAGTCCTCAAGTTCATTAATGGGGAAGGGCTTTTAAGGTTGTTTGCCAGTTGGTGTCATTCTTATAGATCTCTGGAAATCACACTAGTGCCAGATCTCTCCTAAAACCTATAATGACTCCCTCTATCATGGTATCTCTTATCCTGCTCTCCTCTGTTCTTCCCCTGACTCAGCCCTCCTGCTCCCCCATGGCCTCCTCTCCCCTATTCTTCTCCCCCTCTCTTTTTCACAGCTCCCTCTCCCCTCTCCCCATGCTCCCAATCTGCTCAAGAGATCCTGTCCCATTCCCCTTCTCTGGGGGTACCATGCATATCTCTCTTAGGGTCCTCCCTGCTTCCCAGACTCCTTGGCAGTGGGATTGTAGGCTGGCAATCCCCTGATTCATGTCTAAAATTCATATATGAGTGAGTACATACAATGTTTGTCTTTTTGTGACAGGGTTATCTCACTTAGGATGGTTTCTTCTATTGCCATCCATTTGTAGTTTGTGAATCTACTGAATTTATACAAAGCAGCCTTAAGTGAATGTTAAATCTGTTCTTAAAACTATTCCGATGTTTGCATGCAGGTTTCCTACTACTTGATTCCTACCAGGAATGCTTTAAAATATAGGTTTTAATAGTGTGGGAAACTGTGTTTGTCTTAGATTTCATGTTGCATCTTAATTACAACCATCTTGTTTACTGTTGATAACATGACTTGAGCCTTCAGGAGTTGGAAGATGAATATTTTGCTCTTGTCACTTTAAGTTTTCCACTACTACTCTTTTGTAATTAAACACATGACTTTCCCTCAAACATTTACAAACACGCATAACCATTGATAAGCAAAAAGCGTGTTTGCCATTTGGATCAATACTTTGTCTTTACTTGTCAAAGGGAAGAGTCCTTCATGTGAACACAGTGACTAGGACAACCCCTACTATTAAGACTCAGAAATTCTAGTGCCATCCATTTGCCTGCAAATTTCAAGATGCCATTTTTTTTTCTGCTGAGTGGTATTCCATTGTGTAGATGTACCACATTTTCTCTATCCACTCTTCAGTCAAGGGGCATCTAGGTTGCTTCTAGGTTCTGGCTATTACAAATAATGCTGCTATGAACATAGTTGAGCAGATGTCCTTATATTGTATGAGTATATATCTTTTGGGTATATGCCTAAGAGTGGTATTGCTGGATCTTGTGGTAGACTGATTTCCATTTTCCTGAGGAATCTCCATACTGATCTCCAAAGTGGCTACACAAGTTGGCAGTGAAGGAGTGTTCCCCTTTCTCCACATCCTCCCCAGCATAAACTGCCATTAGTATTTTTGGTTTTAGCCATTTTGACTGGAATGAGATGGTATTTCAGAGTTGTTTTGATTTGCATTTCCCTTATGGCTAAGGGTGTTGAGCACTTTCTCAAGTGTCTCTAAGTCATTTTAGACTCCTCTATTGAGAATTCTCTATTTAGTTCTGTAGCCCACTCTTTAATTGGATCCTTTGGTGTTTTGGAGACTTGATTCTTGAGTTCTTTGTAAATTTTGGAGATCAGACCTCTGTCATACATGGGGTTGGTGAATATCTTTTCCCATTCTGTGGGCCGTCGTTTTGTCTTGTTGACTGTGCCCTTTGCCTTACAGAAGCATCTCAGTTTCAGGAGGTCCCATTTATTAATTTTCGATCTCAGTGTCAGCTTGGACACATGGGGGAGGACCTAGGCTGTGCCTGGGATGATATGGCAGACTCTGAAAATCCCTCATGGAAGGCCTTACCCTCCCTGGGGAGTGAAGGGGGAATGGAGGGGGGGCTGGGGGTATTGGGGGACCGGGGAGGAGGGGAGGGAGAGGGAACTGTGAGTAACTTGTGTAAAAAGTTAAATACAATTATTTTGAAAAATAAATTAATTTTTAAAATAAGACTCAACAGGTAAATTAGGTGAACCCTCTCTAGAGAATCAAGAGCTTGGCCAGAATGGATCTGATCGGTGAATAATTTCTAGGAATTGTAAGTAACAGTACATAGGTCCTTTTCCTACACCATTCCTGGTAGTGTTCACATATACACTCATTATTCCTCCAAAGCCCTTCTCCTTACCTAACTCTTTTGCTGGACTGTCTAATGAATGAAGTCGCCAACTTAGCAACTAATGATAAATGAATGAATAAATGGGTATAGACACATGCAGCATGTGTCGTTTAGTTTCTGCCTAAAGTCTTTTTAGTTCATGACTGGAATGGATACTTTTCTATAGGTGTTGTGGCAGGAAAATATGGAAAACTACAGATTTCTTTCTTGTATTTACAAAATGTGTATCTGCCATATGGGTCAGTCTTTTCTCATTTCTTGTTAAAGGGGGAAAGTCCTTCATCTGAACATCTGTCATATCTGTGGGTAAATAAAGGTACCACAAAGAGGGTTAGGTATCTATATTTAACTCAATATATAACCCCTGACCTGGCCTGAGATATTCTGTGTACACTTATCCCTCAGTGTTTATGGGGGAATGACTCACTGTCCCAGCATTTAGCAAAACCTGTTCATTCTCTAGTTACTCATATAAAATGATGTTGTATTCATATAACCTATGCTCAGTACCCTTTATAATATTTAAATGCTGTCTAGATTATACTTAGTGTAATTCTAACAGTACAATGTAAGTACTGTCCTACATCATGCACAGTCTTCCTGCAACATTTGCCTTGATGCTGGTAAGTCTTGCGTTATTCCTCTTACACATTACACTACTTTAGAGTTAACACACCTGTTTCTCACATTTGTTTGCCTCTTCTACATTATAATCCTTTTGCAGTCAGGCCTCCTGTCCCTGCAAGTGCTCTACACTATGTGTGATAATCATCAGTGGATAAATATGCATGTGTTGATGAATTATAACAAGCTGTCCCCTTGATGTTGTATGGTGTAATGTGGGATGCCCCTCTATATGCTGTGAATAGTTTTATTACCATTAGTTAGTAAGGAAGATTTTTTTGGTCAGTAGCTAGGTAGAATAGAGCCAGGCAGGAAATCCAGACAGAGATATGGAGAGAAAGAAGCTGGAGTCAGGGCAATGACATGTAGCTGCTGGAGTAGTAAGATGCCAGAGCTTTACTGGTAAGCCATGGCCACATGGCAATATATAGGTTAATAGAAATGGGTTTTTTAAGTGTGAGAGCTAGTTAGTAAAAGTCTGATTCATTTGTAATTAATACAAGCCTCTGAGTGGTTATTTGGGAGCTGGTAGGCAGGAGAGAAACTTCCAGCTACAATGAATGGTGTGTGGGTATTTCAATTGGTAGTTTTGAACCCACCTTGTTTTTATAACATGAAAATACAGATGCACAAGTCTCACTCTTGAGTTGCTGTTTCAATATTCATGGGCGAATCTGCTCTTTTAATAAGTCATCTGGCTGATTCTGGTGCAGATAGTTCAAGGGTTACATTGTACAAACTGACTCAAGTTCAAGGTTCTTAAGATGTAAGGCTTAACTTTTGAAATTAGTGTCTAGAAATTTCTGTCTATGACCCAAAACAGTGGTTCCCAACTTGTGGGTTGTGACCCCTTGGGTATATCTGGTCAGATATACAGCATACCAGATATTTACATTATTATTCATAACAGTAGCAATATTACAGTTATGAAGTATAAATAAAATAATTTTATGGTTGGGAGTCACCACAACATGAGGAATTACATTAAAGGGTCACAATATTATGAAAGTTGAGAACCACAGCTCTAAATGAAATTACAAAATAGAACTGGCAGAAAATCAAGTCACTTTTTTACTGACTATTGATATATGGCTAACAGTTTGTAATTCAAGTATCTTTTCAGCTAGTTTTTCTGGTCCTTGCTTTTGCAGACAATGGCCACAGGTGGGAATAATGGTGCCCATATAATTGCGTTTTTGTATTACCTAAATCAATAATGGTGCCAGTATAATTGTACCTTCATATTACCTGGATCAACTGGACTGGGTTAAATGCTTCCTGTCCGAAGAAAGGGACATCAGCTCTCTGGACCAGCAGAGCAAGATGGAGACCCTCTTGTCCAAAGTGATGCACCAGGGCCTTTTTGACTTCCTGTTTTACATGTTCCATGCTCAGCTTGCTGTGTGGGTACCCTGGAGTGTCCAATACCTGTATTTGCAGGGTTATTTCTTGTCCCCCTCGACGCATGAAGCTGTGGAGGTAACAACTTCGGCCCAGGCTGCACTCTTTGGTTATAGAGCCTGGAGAGAGACTGCTGTAGAAGTCGGTACTTCCCAAAAGAATATTCCCAGCAGAACTTTTCCCACTCTGAGTCCTGCCAAAGACAGCCAAATTGATGATCATCTTGTTGGTGTCTGCCATAGCTGTGGGTAAACAAAGTCACCACAAAGAGAGTTAGGTATCTATAATTATCCAAATATAGCCTCCAACCTGGCCTCAGTGTCTATGGGGGGGAATGACTCACTGCCTCAGCATTTACAAAAAAAGTTCATTCTCAAGTTATTTATATAATATGGTGAAGTATTCATATAACCTATGCTCAGCACCCTTTATAATACTCTAAATGGTATCTAGAGTATACTTAGTATACTTCTAACAGGGCAATGTAAGTTCTGTCCTACTATATTTTGGGGGGAGCAATGACAAAGAAAAAGAGGATCTGCACATGACCAATGCAGACTTTTTTTTCTGAATATTTTCGTCCGGTAATTGGGTGAATCTGCAGATGAAGCATCTATGCATGGAGCACTTCCTGTTCTGCCTGTGATGTGCTGCCTCCTTTTCTGTAGTAACCTAATCAGGGCCGCATGCTCCATTGCAGTTACCACGTAGACAGTGGGGATTGGAACAGTAGTAATTGATAGTGGGGAAACAGGAAAACACCAAACAGAAGCAAGGGATGTCTAAGGAAGGGAAAGCTGCAGGAAAAGGAGGGAGAAGTCAAATACCATGAAGATAATTCATTTAGGAAGAGCATTTTGATGCTTCAGTGTGGTAAAAGAGGGAGTTCAGGGTTGAGATCACTGAGTTCAGGAACCCATGGGGAAGATTTAAAATTCACTTACTATTAAAGAAGTAGAAATAAATACAACAGTGAAAGAAAATGCCTTTTTGGCTATTGTCTTTTACTCTTTTCTTAAATTTTCTATTTGGTTTATCTATTTTTATATGTATAGGTGTTTTGCTTGCATGCACGTGTGTGTATCACATGCATGCCCAGTGCCTATAGAGGCTAGTAGATGGGTCTTGGATCCTTTGAAAACGGATTGTTAGCTACACAAGATGGATGCTGGATCTCAAACCATGATCCTCTGGAAGAATAGCCAATGATCTTAGTCACTGAATTATCTCTCCACCCCAAACTTTGAGACAAGTCTCACTCTGTAGCTCAGGTGGACAGGATGGCCTGAAACTTACTATGAAGCTTGAACTGATCTCTGACTTATGGCTATTCACCTGAATTCTCTTGTCTTGAGTGCAGGGATTACAGGTATGAGCCACCATGCACAACTCCATCCAGCATTGTATTATTTAATACAAAAAATCAGACTTCGAATTAAAAGTGATGCTAACATAGTTTTAAAGCATAATTATTAAGATAGGGAGAGATACTTATGAACAAAGTAAGGCCAACCTAAGAGCATAGATGTGTGTTTCTCAACAGAGAATTGCCTGTTTGACATTTTAATGGTGTCAGCCACCTGCCCATCTCCCCACTCCCTGAATATACAAGTGCCAACTGCAAAAGTTTCTCTTCCCCAATTCCTGAATGCCTTTTTCCTAGGAAACATGACTTCTCAAAAGACGGCTATCGTTTCTCCTTAAGAAACCCCGTTTCACAACCAGGAAACAGTCTAGTAAAAATGAGAGAGACTTGTAATTTCTGTTAGGAAATTAATTATTTCCTGCACAGTTGATCATTGCAAAGTATGGACTCTTTGATGAAACTCTGTAATCCATTTAGGAAGCACAAGAATTTCCACTTAAAGAGCCTGTACAGTGTTGTCAGTTTTCACGCAGCGCCCGCCTAAGCCTTAGAATATTTTAAGGTCACTGGTAATTTTCATTGTTTGATAACCAAAACTACTGGGAAACTGTCAAAAACCTCAGTCTGCTGAATCATAAATAAAGACACATCAATGGATAATAGAGATTATTTTGCTTGTGATTTACAATTCTATTATATGTTGTTAAGTATCCTAGTAGTTCTCTAAGGTCCCTCACTCCAGTATTTCCAGATCTTATCACAAACACCTTCAAGGAGCCACACAGTTGAAGAAAATGTCACTGTTCCAGCAGCCCGTCATGTAGCTGTCAGCTCATGTAGCTCACTCATTTTCATTTATGCCCCCTGCACTGAGTTGCCATTTATTTCTGTCTGGTCCCGAATCACATATCTAACATATTTAAAAATCAGCCATATGCCCCTTACCTTTTTTTGTCTTGGAAATATATTCTTCACAGACTACCTCAGGACTGGTACAGTTTATCTTTGAAATGAACTTTAGTCTCCTGACTGCGTGGTACCAGCAGGCAACTGATACTGCAATACTCTGCTTAGTTAATCTGTTACCAGACATCCTCTTTATTAAGTGATTAGCTGTCTTCTAATCAGACGACAGCCTATCATTTTAATAGATACTTCCTGAAACCTCTGTTTGACTCTTTGAGTGCGTTTCTAAAAAATAACAAGGTTCCCACAGCAAAAGTATGAAGCATTCTTAGCAAAAGTTACAAGTTTCCCATTTCGATTGATAAATGCTACATCATTACTTCATGAAAAAACATCAACAAACATGCATAATTACAGACAGCATAATAGTATTTAATTCGCAAATTCAAAATTTTATAAGAAGAATTCTCTGGGTTATTTCCGTATACTTGAAATGCATCATCTTAACCTGTTTAAAATCTCCTGTGTGCTTTTTTGAGGTCATGCAATTTTCATAATCAAATAATCACCATTAGTTATGATGACATGCTTAAGGCACACAATTAACTAAGTTACGATTAAATAATTTTCCTTTAAAATTGGTTTTGTTTTGGTGTGAAAAGTTCAGATTTGACTCCCTCGTGTCTTAGTGTATAACTGTACTTCCCCAAACTCTTTCATGTCTCATGTTAGATGTAGAAGCCTCATTCTGGTTACATTCTAATCCTCTCTAAAAGCTCTCAAGTAGTCTATTGGATAGCACTCCTACGAAGGGAATCTGGAGACAGCTGGAACTTCCTCTGTGGATAGGACAAGGAATGTGTGAATGGGACCCTTCCTTCCTCAGAGCATCAGTTGTCTTGAATGGAGCAGTGAAGAGCTTCCCCCAGGTGGCAGTAGCAGCATGTCCCCTCAGAAGGATTTTTCAACCAGAGTTTAATTTGCTTCCTCAAAGAGTAAACTGACATCCAACCATCTACAGCAGCATGTATTCACTATAAAGTGGATTTTTTTTAAAGAATGGCTCTGTTTCTGTGTTCTTTTATGGAAAGCACCAAGCATACACAGGCTCTAACTTTTTCTGTCTCTCACATTTGAGGTCATAGTTTAGGTCATTTGCTGAATGCAACAGCCCAATCAACTGGTTATAAAAGGAGGAGGGCAGTTCACAATGACATGTACATGTCATTGGATCTGCAGATTTTCAGACACATTGTCTAATGCAATACCAGTTTTGAGCCAATTTCATGGATTCATAGAAGGGACATTTACTAATATTAAACCAACAATCTGATCAATTTTCTTTCTGATTGTTTTGAGTCATGGTAAAGGAAAATTACATTTTCACTGACTTTTCTAAATATCCTTTACTGGACTAAAAATAAATTATCCTTGATTAGGTATTTCCAGGATTCATGTAAGCAAAAATTAGCTACTTTGGGTAAAAAAAAATTAAACTGGATCCTGACATCCCATAAGAAATAATAAAAAAGCAAAAGTCAGCCTGCTGATGGTCGAAGGGGAAGAGCCAAGAAAACAGAGTATCATGCTGGAAGGGAAAGGGCCTAGCAGAATCTCCCAAAATGGGAGACCGGAAGGACACAAGGACTATTTAAGAGCAGAAATGGCTTATGTTCAGTTTTCAGTCCTTTGCATTTCTGGGTTGCAAAACTACCCTCTTTCATAGTTTTCTTATGTGGTAGATTTTCATTTTTGTTTTAGTTTTGCATTTTATTTCATTTTCTCTGGTCAAAATAAAAAAGTTTCAGGTCTGTCTGTAAGGGTAAGGACCACAAAAGTTGGAGACAGCAGTATGACATCTGAGGAGAAGTTTCGAAAGAATGCTAGTTCCCAGGAACTTGCAGGAATCACTGAGAAGACATTTCCAACTCCTCAACCTGTGAAATTGGATATTTTGAGATTAAAATACTCTACCTGGTGAATATTATATTTCAAATTTATACACATATATTTACACACATGCACATATGCATATTTATCTCTATGTTTGCGTGTATATCCACCTGTGAACAAAGCCTATAACTTCTCTATATGTTCAGTAAAATCTCATGTCTTTAATCAAATGACTTTTGTTATAAGTAGTACTTGCCAGATAACAATTTGATTAATGAGTGTGCTTATGTTTTAATGACTCTTTATTTTATTTGGTTCAAATTTCAATTCTTTGCTCTGATTATATTTCTTTTTATAATAAAGAATATCCATAGAGCATAGACCAGATGTTCAATGATATCCTATGATATGTCTTTAACCTAGGCTATCCCTATACAAATTTGAACTTTCAGGTGACAAGTGTTGAGGCTGATGACTCTGGTGAGTTGGTCTAATCTAGTTTTAGAGGTAGGATTCAGATCCCAGCTTAATTGAGACACTGAGCAGACAAATGATCTTAATTGGAGCAATGAAGAATGTTTGGGTTTAGACAGGACTATGGGAGCCTAGCTTTCAGTTCACGCTGGGTTGATTTTATATATAATAGTTTCTGGATCTCACATCCTCATGCAGGAACAAACAGGATGTTTCGTATTTAGTCCTGTTGTTATTTGTTTGCTTATTTTTATTCTGAATATTTGTATGTTTTTTCAACCTACAAAGGTAGTGTGTACTTTTTCAAAGCATTAAATACAGAAAGAAAAATTATTAAAATACAGCAAGGAAATAATTACTTTTGAATATTAACTACTGGGGGACCATGAGTTATTGGCTCCTTTGGGGACATTTCCTGTTTCTAACTGTACCCTCTTGCCATTTATTCCTCCTCTTTCAGAATCACCTTTGCAATGAAAACCACATGAAGGAAGCACCCTTGTCATGTGAGCTCTGTGGGGGCAAAAGCAGTCATTAGCAATCACTTAAGTGACAACGCTTTCACTATGCTACTGCCCATAACACCCATAATTTTAGGAACCTATTTTACAACATTCTATTTTAAAGTGTCTATAACTTTATGTGTTTATGGTGTTTATGTGTGTATGCATGTATGAAGGCCAAAGGCTGATTTTGCTTTCCACCTTTCCTTTGTAATCAAATCTCTCTTATTGAACCTGGAGCTCACCATTTCAGCTAGATTGGCTGGCTTGCAATGCTGCGGATGCCCCTATCTCTACCACTGGGGTTGCAGGCATGCACCACCATACCTTGCTTTTACGTGTGTGTTGGGGGCCTGCCTAGGACCTTATGCCAACACAGCGAGCACTTTCCCCACTAAACCATCTCTCCAGCCCATTCAACATTCTATTTGCCATGTTTCCTGTTCGAGAATATGCTGCCATCTTAAAACAAATTAGGAGAAATTCTCTGTTGTGTCGAGCTTCATGATAATTCATATCATGTATCCCCTAAAGACCTGGGAAACTCCCAGGAAGACAGCTGAACAGAACAAAGTAGTAGTAGTGATCCTTGAACAACTTAAAAGTTCTACCACAGTGATTTGACCCTTCTTGTGTACATTTTGGTGATTTGTGGTATATACCTATTTTAACCACTTCTTATTTTTTTGTAATGTTTAATCACCTTCATTTCTAGAAATAGTTTCCTGGTTTTGTTATGAAGTGGCTAATGTGTGAGTTATGTTAATGTGTTTTTAATATGTATTTAATAAGAAACACTTTCTTTCTGTGTAAACACAGTTAAGTTAATAAACACTTAAAAGTTTATTGAGTATGTATGTCTAATATTAAGTTTCCTTATTAAATATATTTTAAAAATAATGAATATAAATAGCTTCTTATACCCAGTTTCCTAAATCAGCATGTATCAGATTTTTTAGATAATTATCTTATGAGAATATCTTTTTTTTATTTAAATTAGAAACAAGCTTGCCTCACATGTCAATCCCAGCTCCCTCTCCCTCTTCTCCTTACCTGTTCCGCCCACCAGACCTCCCAAACACCCACCCAATCCACACTCTGATCCCCAGGGAGGGTGAGGCTCTCCATGGTGGATCTCCAGTGACTGTCATTTCATTCAGAGTTCAGGCTGAGACAGCATCACTCATTGTGGGATGGGGTACCCAAAGACACAGGTTATTTTTGTACTTTTAAAGTTTGAAATGGATTTTCAGGAAAAAATTGAATTTACAACTTTGCACCTTTAGCATGTGTGTATGTGTGTGTGTGTAACTTATGTTTCTAACGACATCATGAAATTTGCAGACAAATGGAGGGAACTAGAAAAAGTCATCCTGAGTTAGGTGACCCAGACCCAGAAACACAAACATGGTATGTACTCACTTATAAGGCGACATTAGCTGCAAAGAAAAGAATAGCCATGCTGCAATCCACAGGATTTTCCTGAGAAGAGGAAATAGAGATTTCATGGGTAGACTAGAGGGCGGGTGGGGATGGGAACATGAGAGATCAGGTGGGGTGGGGGAAGAAAACTGAAAGAGACGACTGGAAAGGGGAGCATTTCAGGGTTAGGTAGAAACTTGGTAGAAGGGAAACTCCCAGGAACCTGCAAGAATGTTCCCTGCTAAGACAGCTAGCAATAGTGGATATGTAGCCTGAATTGGTCAGTTCCAGTCACCAGGTAAAACTTCCAGTGGAGGGACTGGAATACCAACCCAGTCATATAACCTTCAACCTGCAATCTGTCCTGCTTATGTAAGTGCTGGCATAAGGGAGGCACAGAGACTGTGGGAGTGGCCAACCAGTGACTGGTCCAGCCTGAGACCCAGGTCATGAGAGTGAAAATACCCCTGACACTGCCTGGAGCTGGACAGCCCAGAGACCTAGATAGAACCAAACACGACTAGAGAAAAAAATGTCAATATAATGATGCTTAATGATATTCTGGATTGGTGCCCAGTCCAATAGTCATCAGAGAGGCTTTATCCAGTAACTGGTGGAAACAGATGCAGATACTCACAGCAGAATATTAGGCTGAGCACAGGGAATCCTGCCGAAGAGAAGAAAGATTGTAGGATTCATAAGGTTCAAGGACATCATGAGAAAACCACAGAAACAACTTGGGCTCACAGGAGCTCACAGAGACTAAACCAAACCTGCAAGGGAGTGTGACCTAGACCCTCTGCATGTAAGTGATAACTGTGTAGCTTGGTCTTCTTGTGGGACTCCTAACAGTGGGAACAGGGGCTGTCTCTGACTCTTGCTGGGGTGCCTTGCCCAGTCTTAGTACAAGAAGTAATGCTTAGTCTTACTATAACTTGCTATGCTATATTTTGTTGATATTCATGGAGACCTGACTTTTTGTGAGTAGAAATAGAAGAGTGGAAGAAGAGGCAGAATCCCATGGTTAAGTTCTGAGCTGAACTCAAGAAAGCCAGTAACAGAGAGGGAGGACTGATGACCAAAGGAGTTATGACTGGGCTGGTTTAACCCCCAGAAACAGCTGACCTGACAAGGGTTAACTCTTGAATCCCAGGCATCAGCCTGGGAATCCAGCATGGGACTGATCAAGACCCCCTGAATGTGGGTGTCAGTGAGGAGGCCTAGGGGATTGAGCCTTGGGCAGCAGATCAGTACCCATCCCAAGTATACACACGGACTTTGGACTCCCATAGAACAATGTGAGGTGCACTCTCACCCTGAACTCTTGGGGAAGGGTCTAGGCCCTGCCCTGTATAAAATGACAGACTATGGACACCCCCATGGAGGGCCTCACCCTCCCTGGGGAAATGAGGGGATAATGGGGGGGTTGGTGGGAGGGCACGGGAGGAGGGGAGGGAAAGGGAGAGGGACTTGTGAAGCAACCTTGTTTCTAATCTAAATTTAAACTGAAAAATAAATAAAAAATAAATAAAAATAAAAAATAAAAATAAAAAATAAAAAAACCAGTTACACTGAACCTAATAGAAGAGAAAAAAAAAAGAAATAGAAGAGTGGGTTGGAGAAGGTGTGGGGAGGGACTGGGAGGAGAGGACAGAGGTCAAAATGCTGCTGGGGTGTAAAATAAATAAATAAATATTTTTTTAAAGAAGAGTTTTTCTTTTTAGATTTCTTTCCCTAGAACTGTTTTGAGGGAACACATAAAGTAGAAAATTGAGAAACTGGAGTTTTGTAAAGACTTAAAAGTTGTCCAAAGATATTTTAAGTTTGACAATAAAATGCTTCACTTCTGTTTGGGGCTTATCCTGTTGATATCAGTTTTTATAATCATATAATCCCCCAATCTACAAACAGTCACAACAACAACAAAGTAATAACAACAAAAATAACCTTTATGGAACAATCACCATGAGAGGTAATTTTTTTTCTGACCTTAGAATAGCAAGTATGTGCTGTAGGTATAATTGTTATTTCCAGGTAGAGATTTCAGAGTCAAGAAAAGCCTTCTTCCCAAGTCACAACTTGGCAGTAGAGAAGGACTCGAACCCAGAGCCTCCTCAGTTCAGAGACTATCTGCTTATTCCTTACAGTACAACATGGAGACACATACAGGGGTAAAACACTATATACTTGGCCAAAGTCCTTTGCATATACTCAATTTTATTTGGGTCATACCCCAAACTATTATAAATGACTCTATTCTTAAAATCCCACCCTGATGTGATACTAGACTTCTGTGATCACAGCCCACACAATGCATCACATCCCGCTTGTCAGCCAAGACTCTGCAGAAATTAGTTAAGTTTGATTTACAACTCAGAGGCAGAGCAGGCCAGAGAGTGGGTGGTAAGTTTCACGAATGGTTTTCAGGCGCTTGTTGCATGAGCTAAGCACAAAGAGACAAATGTTAAGGCTGATGTGTTGTGTGGTCTGTGAGAGATGAGGTCAGTATGTAACAATGGTGGGGTAAGTCTTGAAAAGAGACATATGATATTTACATAATTCCTAAAAGGTGAAACAAAATAGGTCTGGATAAGAGCCACTATCTGTGCCAAGCGTGATTACACAAAATTGAAGTCATCGCTTTATAATAATACTATAAAATTGCTGGGCTAAAAAACAAGCCATAGGCCCATCGTATTTGGGGAAACTCATCTGAAACATATTGCTGTTTCAGATGCAGTGGGAAGAGTTGAATTTCGCCTTCTAGCCAAATGGGGAAGGTATACAGGATATTAGAAAATGGAATAAAGATCGTGTCCTTACAGCTTGATAGAAAGCTTAACTTGGCCAAAAGAATGGTGAGAAACAGATTGCTTATGTCAGACCCTAACAGCTTCACGGCCCACAGTGGTCCTTTGCATGATGGTAATTATATCTTCAGTCCTTGGTTGTACTATTTCTTCTTATGGGTTAAGTAAGCCATTCTTTAGAGCTATTTCTAAAATTCAGTGATGTACTTAAATTTACATTATAGTCACAGAATAAAGGATAATCCTTAGAGTTGTTATTTTGAATAAATACATAGATGGCTTTACAACCTGGTATGATAATTAGGTATTATGACCTATTGTATATTCACAGCATACAATGTGACAGAATACATGTTTTCCTTTGCTTGTACACATTAAAAATAATGAAATAAATAACACTGTTATTTCAGTGTTATTATTCCTGGAATAATTTTATTTGAAAAGTAAAACATGATACAAATGTTTTATTATAGCTTATGTAAGAACTATAGATATCAAACAAGTTCTGAAGCCTCTTAAATCCCAGCATATAGATGGAGAATTAATTAACAAATATAAAACATAAGCTAGGCATTGGTGGCAAGACTTTAGTACCAGCACTCGGGAGGCAGAGGCAGGCAGATCTCTGTGAGTTCGAGTCCAGCCTAGTCTACAGAGTGAGTTCCAGGACAGCCTCCAAAGTCACAGAGAAACCCTGTCTCAAAAAAAAAAAACAAAAAAATAAATATATGATATGGAGGGACTGCTGTGCTTTGGAAATCAAAATGTGAAGCAACTTAAATTATACAGGGTTTATTTGTCACATTTTTATCCCCAATCTTGTATGTGTTTCATAAGGCAAAAGTTTTATCAAAACTAAAATGAAGCACACTCAGATTCAAGATCATTTTTTTATCACTCAGTGGGTAAAGCTGTCTGCTGGCCTGGCAGGCATGATGATCTCAATTTAATCCCTGGGATTTACATTGTGGACGTTGAAAAGTGACTCCTTTGGCCTCCACATGGGTCTTCTCCCCCACAACAAAATAAAATGTAATAACAAAGGCATCCAAAGACTCCATTGCCTTGTTTCATTCCTTTATTAGCACCTATAAGCTGAATTAGTCACTTGCATAAATCATTAAGTAGATACTTCTATGTGGAAGCATAATAGGTTCACAAGTGGAAAACTTGTTAATGTAATCAAAACCGCTTCCAGGTCTGTCCTACTTCTGTAGAAAGCAAGAAATGATTCACTATACAGGAATGCTGTAGGTGAGGACAGTGACCTGCAAATGTGTTCTACAAAGTGTCTCTCTGAAGCAGATGTAAGGGTTGGATTTGGCTTCGTTTCCAGCAAGACTCATAGTGAAGTCTGGTCCCAACCTAGTAGTGGCATGAGGAATCTGGGTCACAGTGAATAATCCTTATAGAATTGAGACTTTTCTTATGTGGGTTTTCATCTTGTGGAATGGGGAAACAATGTGGTAAAGCATTGCTTCTCTTCTACAGGTGCCAGCTGTGCCCCCCCCACTTTTCTTCCTCCAGAGGATGAAGCCAGGACCCTCATTATCCTGACTGTGGATTGCAAACTCATGAGCTAAAACAAAGATTTAATCATACACTGGCCAGACTCAGGTATTCTGTTATAGGAGGAGGGAGTGTGGGGAGGAGAAGGAGAAAAGGGACAGTACATTTTTAAAACATAGCTGTTGAATTTGAATTTATCTTTACAATAAGACATTTTTAAAACCAAATTATTTTCCAGTCTTAAACCCATTTCAATCTATTATGTATCTGTCTTTACAAATGAGTCCATCATAAAAACTGTAGTGGAGAGGAATGGAGAGATGGAAAAACTAGATTGCACATTTTGAAATTATATATGCAGTTTACATTTTATACAATGACCTTTTGAACTAAATATAGTTGAAAATGTTACCTGTTTGTTTAAAAATTACAGACATGGCTGTAATACTGACTTGCCTATATGAAATGGATAGGCTTTCTTTTCTCTCTGTAAAATTGTATTCAGTAAAACTTCATGGGGCTAATCAAATAACACACACCTATACAAGAACTGAACCACCGCGTGTAAAACCGGTGGCATAGCACTTAATGCATAGAAAGAATAAGTACAAATTAACTTGGAATGATCAATTTTGCTCCAGTCCTCCTCCCTTTGCTATTTGGTGACTGCTGTACTTATAATGACACCTGGTCATGTGCAGAAGCCTCCACAGGCTGTGTGTCAGAGGCCTTGAACCAGACTACTGCCTCATTGCCCTGAACTCTTGCAAGTAAAGATGTGTGGACCAAAGGGTATACTGTGTGACTCACTGTGTCACCCTACAGCTTCCATGCTGAGATTTTTCTTTTCTTATAATTTTTACTTTGTTTTGTCTTTGGAGGGAGTTTTCAAGAGCAGAGGGTTGATGCAAAGGGACGGGGACATGAGTGGGACCAGGACGCATGATGTGAAATTCACAAAGAATTAAAAAACTTACAAAAATGACAGGATCACTCACATAATGTGAGAAAACTTTGTAGATCATATCTAATAAAATAATTAAGGATGGAAAAATGGAATAATTGTTATAACTCAATGACAATAATTTGATTAGAGAAAAGAATTTGAATACTTCTTCAGTGATGAGATATAAATGACTGGTAAAGACATGAAAGTCCTTACTACTGAGTAAGTGCAAATAAAATCAAAATGTGGTACTAACCAATCTCCCCAAGATGACAATAAAAAGAAACAAAGAATAACAAGTGTTATTAGTTACATAGAAAAATTCAAGTCCTCATATATTTCTCATGCTGCTGGAGCTAGTTCGATAACCAATTTTATGTTTTCACAAACTGCTAAATTCAGGGTCACAATATAATCCAGAAATCCATTCTTCCATATATAGTCAATAAAAATTAAAATATATGCCCATGAAAACCATTGTACATGAATTATTTATAGCAACATCATTCATTGCAGCCACAAAGTGGAAACAACCAAAATGTCCATCATGGATGAAGGGAGATTTGTGCTTTGTGATTTGTGACAATGGGATGTTTGTCAACAACAAAATCCAGAACATCAACACAATACTACAACACAAATGATTCTTTGTAATACTATTCCACGACAATCAAGGCTTCACATATTTGACTACCTCATTTACATGAAATATCCATAATAAGCTAATTGACAAAGATAAAGATTAGACATTTCTTGGAGTGGGAATGGGAAGCAGGTAGTCAATGAGTAAAAGGTTTCTTGTAGAATGATGAAATATTCTAAAAACATTCTAATGTTAGATAGTGGTTATGTTCGTATGACAGTAGGAATATATTAAAGTCCATGGAACTATACACTTAAAATGTGTGATTTTGTTCGAGGCCAAGCTGGACCGACAGCCTCCAAAACAATACAGAGAAACCTTGTCTTGTAAAACCAAAAAAATTGTGTGATTTTAAATTGTGGATGAACTCATACACCAATAAGTCTGCTATTAGTAAAGGGATCAACTTTAGGGGGAAATAAATTATTTTTCTTATTTGTCTCAACTACATTGTAATTACCTCCTCAACGGAAGCTTTCTTATCTGTCTCCCAGGCTTTTGTCACTATTTTAATGATAATTTATATGTGCAACCAGCATACTTGGTAGGACTTTTATTAATTCTGCAATAACATATGGCAGTTATTTATACATCAGCATTTTTGTCTGATTTTAACATATTCAAAAGCAGGGTTGGGAGCCAGAGGGGATGGATAACACCAAGGAAACTGGGTATTCCAGACGCAGCAGTACTGACACACACGTGAACTCAGAGAAACCGTGGCAGCATGCACAGGTTCAAGTCAGGTAGAATCCTATCTGAGAGAGGGAAGTGAGTAGGAATTCCATCCTCAGCTGAGAAGCTATGTCCAGTTGACATCTGCTTATATAGGAAGAGTTAGTTTTCCCAATGGAGTCTCATTGGGTATAGTAACCTCATTTAAGGGAAGCACCTACGCCCAGCAGTAGATGTCCAACACAAAATGAACTCCATGCTATTTTTGGTGGACTTCTTTTTGCATATTGCTTTGTTTGAACATTTTTTATCTTACTGTTCTTTTGCTTTATGATTTTCGATCTTGTATGCTCATGGATATTATTTTGTGTGTTTCTATGTGTGTGCTTTTCCTGATCTTCCTCTTTGCTAATTTTCTGTTTAAATTCTTGTTTATTTGCCCGTTTAATTGTTTTCCAAAGAGAGGGAAAGAGATAAAAGGTATAGATGTGGGTGGAAGGTGGGAAAAATCTGGGAGGAGTTGTGGGACAGATACTGTGATCAGAATATATTATTTTCAGTAAAACACACACACACACACACACACACACACACACACACAAGACCAGGGTTAGTGTGTTGTAGATTTTTTTCTTTGATAACTATGTATTGTGCATGTCAATGGAGCTGAACATACTATCCCAACACATGCATATAGCATTGGGTTGAGTTCATGACACCTTGAAGGGAATCTGATAAATATTTTCTATGTCAATGAAATTATAATTAATTATAATTAATTCTCATGATTCCTTTTCCCTTTCATCAAGGTGCTAGTTAATACTTTCTTTTGTGTCCATGGATATACTTAGTATTTATTATTGCAAGCATTAACTAACTTTCATTACTGCACTCTTCTCACTATGAGTAACAAACATTTATTGATACGACTTTAGGGGATACTATAAGACATGATGTACATATGAGAAAGTAATAATTTTTAAAGATCATTAGCTACCAAAGAGGGGCCTATGCCTCAGAGATATTTGACCTCATTTAAGTTCTGAGGCTTTGAACAATTTACAAGTCATTGGACCTTAATGTTTATCTATAAAGTGGAAATAGAAAATATATAACTTATGATACAGCAGTTGAATTCATTTAGTTTGACACAATGTCTTCATATAGGCATTTCATAATTGTTATACAATATTATAATGTATATTCTGTATATCAATACACAACTATATATGATAATATTTTCTGAAAATAAATGAGCATAGATACAAACACACATACACACATGTTAAACATACTGGCCATTTTGCTTTTCAATTATAAGCTAGGAAATATGTCATTGCAGTTTTATATGACACACCAACATTTTGAATCTTTTCTTTATACTATGTCACTTATAAACTGTGTAAGCCATATTATTCACACTATTATTTTATTTTTGTCTTAGAGGTTACTTGGGAAAATTGATGTTTCAGGTGCTGTAATTATATCTCCTGTGTAGGACAAAAGACAAAGCAATGAGTGCCGAGAGGACAGAGCTAACTGAGTGAACTCTACGTTTCTGACCTTGGAAGTGGGTCTTGGACTTGCCAAAAACTGGTGTCCTTAGAACTAACTGATTCTAATTCAGAAATCGTGAGGAACAGAGTGGCCAGAAAAGAGATTTGCATGTTCATTAAGCATCTATTACGTAGCATGAACTGATAATCTTCATATTTAAACTTTACAAAACTTGTGCAGCAGGTATTGTTATCCCTTCTATAAAACTACAGCATTCTTACATTACAGTGTCCCAGTTTATTAAGCTAGTATGTATTTTTTTCTACTTGGTTATGTTAAAATAGCAAGAGATGTCACACATACACGAGGTGAATGAGAAGAGTGAAGTCTAAGAAGAGATCATAGGAGAATTCAAAAACCTGCTATGGTGCCATGGAGTTAGGCAGAGTAGGAAGCCAAGTCACTAAACATGTTAAGAAAGTAGTTATGTGCACCGAGAGTAGTCGTTGCAACTGACAATTGTTCTCAGTGAAGATTAAGGATAATTCTAATCCAAGTATATCCAGTCATTTACAAACCAAGAGAGGCTAGAGAAGCCAACAGCCAGAAAATCTGCAGACCTTTATAGTTCATCACCTCAGGTGCAAGACAAACAAATGCTTAGTTAATGCCCCCATGGTTGTGTATGTCTCATTACACAGCATTATTATAGCTAATACACCTCTTCTCTTCCCAAACATACATGACACATCAAGCAGTTGTAAATGCTTAATAAAACAGAACCTCTGCTTTATGAGCAACTTTCTTGAATTGTAATTTAGTGTCATAATTTTAATTGAACATCAGATTTCTAGATATGAATATTCAGCAAATGGTTTCAGATGTGGAGCTCTGGGGGGAAAAGATCATTTATAGATAAGATTTAGAAGTTGTTTTCATAGGGCTGGAGAGATGGCTCAGTGGTTAAGAGCAGTGACTGCTCTTTCAGAGGATCCTATTCAATTCCCAGCACCCATGGCAGCTAACAACTATCTATAACTCTAAGATCTGACACTCTCACACAGACACACATGTAGGCAAAACACCAATGTATATAGAATAAGAATAAATACATTATAAAAAAGAAATTGTCTTCATAAAAGTGATGCCAAAAACTAATCAAAAAAACCTTGATTGAGTACATATTTCCTGTCTGGCACAATATAGAAACTTGGAATGGAATAGTAAACAACACAAACTTAGTTGTTTCCCCTTGTTCAAGATCTACAAAATTGCTAAAAGGAAGGGAGGGAGGGAGGGAGGGAGGGAGGGAGGAAAGAAGGACTACTCATTATAATTGGTGGCACG